CAGACATTTTGAAATTCATAAATAAAAAAAAATTAAAGTAAAACCTTTTTTTAAAATTAATTTATTTAATCATAATAATTGAAAAAAAGGCCAAAGATAGGAAATCGAAGTTATCAAAAGAATGTATGCGCTGTTGAAGCTAATTGCATTTGTTGAAACGGAAACTGTAGAATGCTCTTTTCACCCAATTTTCAAGTCAGAGGGTGTCTTGCATTTCGTTACAATGCCTCAAGGTATAATTGCTTTATAAAAACTAACACTAAAACTCACAAGGGCACTGCAAAGCGGAGTATCCCCTTGCAAAGTACATATGTATATATTTACATTTACTTTGTTTGACCCCTATAAAATGCATTATAAAATTAAAAGTGATAAATACGCATAACACACAAGACCAAATCACCTAAGTCTGTCTGGTGTATGAATATAGGGACTACGTGATTACAGTTTAAACAAAGCGAAAACTTTATGTTTTTTATACTATTCATTTGTATTTCTTTGTTCCAAAATATAGTTTATCATTTTAGATTGAAAAATAAAGAAAACTTTGATCATTGTTATCTGTTTTACTGTGCACTATATTCGTTTGCGGATTTTGGTTTGTGTGCGAACAAACTCAGGCGGGAAACTTGGTTAAAGCTGTTCCAAATGCTGTTCTATCAATTGTAACTTACATGAAGGATAAGGCGTTAATCTTAATTAAAAAATTCAAAATTGCAGAAAATACAGGGGCTAAAAAATGTAAATATAAGCATTGAATTGTCATTTTTTGAAAGATGCAGTCTCATAACTGCAATGGTGTGTGCAAACAAATTTTCATAACGCGCTAACGCGCGTTACTCAATTTGTTTGCACACACCATTGCAGTTATGAGACTGCATCTTTCAAAAAATGATAATTCAATGCTTAAAGGTCAATCCCGATACAATTTGATATAAATTACGTCACATTTAATTTAAACAGCTTTTTAATACTCACTTACTCGCAAACAAACACAAACAAACACACATTATTACATGTAAGTTATTATACCGTCTCCAATTCCGTTACAAGGGAGGAAAGGCGTCAAGTGGCTGAACTCACGCATTGTATTGATTATGTGAGTTTGTTTATTCCTGATACCACAAAATGCAATTCATTGAACTTATCCCCCTTTTCTTTGAGATACATGTGTGCAGGTTTAGTCATTAATGATCAAATAACTTTATCAAGGAATAAAAACCAGGTTTATATTTTTTTTCTGTTTCAACATACAGTAAGTATAAGATTTTATCAGTCTAACTTTTTTCCTCTAAACCTAGTATCATATTTTGATTAATATTTTATGATGATTTTACACGTGTGATGTCTAATTTTCAATATTGTTTTCTCAAATTGTTTTCTAAGGCATTTGATGACTCAGGAAAATGCAATATTGCTGCAAAAGAACCGGAAAACAACACCCTTTCATCATAAAAACAAAGTATGATACAGGCACCACTATGTTCCTTGGATGATGGTCACGATGGTTTTCTAAATCATTTCAGTATAAATAACTATTTTCAAAGTAAAAATATGGCATTCTACTGGTTTGATTTATTATTCGAACAGCAATATTTGCACTAGAAATATTTGCTGTAATCAACACGAAGGGAACTTTTTAGTGTACATACTGTGCAATCCCGAATTAGAACCTGGAGAATGCCCCCCCCCCCCCCCCCCCCCCCCAAAAAAAAATATCTTTCTTCGAGTTGACTTTTCGCTAAAGCACATTGCTACAAAACAAATTGCAGGAATACTCTTTATATATATACTTTTTGTTATTCGCTAAAATATTATACAATTATTGCTGTTTTTTTAGGTCAATACAGTGATTTAGCGATATGAGGAGTACAATATTTAATGATCCCAAAGGACGAGCTGAATATTGTACTTCGATTGATTGATTGTATACTGTTTAACGCCCCTCTCCAGAATATTTTACAGATATGGAGACGTCACCATTGCCGGTGAAGGACTGAAAATTTAGGCCTATGCTCGGCACTTACGGCCTTTGAGCAAGGCGGGATCTTTATCGTGCCACACCTGCTGTGACACGGGGCATCGGTTTATTCGGTCTCATCCGAAGGACCGCCCCAGTAAGTCGCTTTTTACAACAAGCAAGGGGTTACTGAGGACCTATTCTAACCCGGATCCCACGGGGCTATTGTACTTCGAAGATGGCTGGCTAAATCATTGTATTGACCAAAAAAAAAACCAGCAATATTTGTTTTATTAAATGATTCACTGATAAAATTATACAGCTCATTACTTGTTTGCATTTAATTACGTCCTAGCCAAATACAAGAGAGAAGTCGAATTAAAATGTAACTAAATCTTACCAGTCGTATCAATTTGAAATGTTCTTTTTATCAATTTTAGTTGCCTAAAAATATGTATAATGTCTTTTTTATAGGATAGATTTTAAGAGGAATGAGTATCAGGGAAAACTGACTGCCAAAAAGTAAAAATTGTTGCTCAGTAAAAGTTTTGAAGGGGGGTCCCTGCATCCCCTCTTACCATCCTCACCCGAAAATATATATTCGCTGATGTTTTGTTTACATTTGTTTATAATATTGGTTTGTCCCTTCTTGGTCATTTACTGAATACTGTAAAATAACCTATTTTTGATGGGTCATACTTTCTTGGTTGGAGACAATGAACATTTTACTTTCTTACCGATATGATATGCAAATGGACTAATAAAGCGAACGGTATTCAATATCAAAGTCCATAAAACTACATAAAAAAGGAGCAGAGCAAACAAGGACCTCCAAAACTTCAGAGGCGGGATTACGTGCCATGAAGGAGTGAGCATCCCATGTCATCCAGTCAAACCCACCGTGTGCTCCTTGTCTTAATTGGGAAATAACAGGAAAATCCGTCGTCAATTCAGTGTATAAATAATTGACAATTAGTATGAAAAACGTCAATCAGCATTTGACTCAATGATAAATTACATTGTATTTGCTGACAAGGTCCTTGTATCGACAATAGAACTTTCGAAATGACTACTTTAAACGAGACTTCTGATATTCTTGTTTCATCAACTTGCTTTTTAATAATTTACCTCGGTTTAGAAAATTTTCATACGTAGAACATGCTCTTGTGTATGGAATCCACTGAAATAGATAAACTCCGCATGCAGGTCATTAAGGTGTATTGCTGCATAATTAAGTAAGGGAAGTTGACGATAAAAAAGTTAAAGTTATCCCGTTTATCATAGAGCTTGGTTGTTAGCTTACCCTTGTCTTTTTCAAGTGAAATATCCAAGAATGAAACAGATGTATTAGACTCTGTGAAACTAGAATAGGAAACTAAATATATTGGTTCGTACCTCGAAAACCACGAAAATCAAACCCCACGCAAATTCATGATTTCACAGTATATGGTTTCTAGTTTGATTTTGTACCCAAACGCACCTTGTGCATATGTAATCACACACAAGGAAAGAGTCAGAATTGGCAATGTACGAAAATATTGAGTGTATATCTACATGCTAAAGTAGAAGCTTCAACGGTGTTAAGCTAACCCTTAAGGCGGTATAGGGTACATGTAATTATCTTCTATCCACATGCACATCGTACACTATACACATTAAGTATAAAATCACGTGTAAATATTGTTTTGAATTAAATTATTCACATTGTTTAATTAAGTTTTAAACACCCTAGTGACATTGATTTATTATACTGTTGGAAATTGTTGAAAAAAAAGATATCTGTTAAATTTAGAATTAACTGATACTTACATGCATGTAAATTTGATAATGGCAAAATATGATAACATAAATTTAATAGTTAATTGTTTTCTTTGCAGTATTTGAATCTAATCAATGATAATGCACTATACTACAAACTAAAATCATGCAAAAAATGTTAACAAAATGTTTTATAGTTCAAGTATATACATGTATCAGTTTATAAGGGTTTTGAAAAGCATATAAACTGCATGTAACTGATATATCATAAAAATGTGTTCAGAGTATATGGTTTTCAAAAGTGGATCCAAATGATGATGTACCATACGGCCCCGAGTTAATTGGCAAATTTAACAATCTAAATTTTATTCAATTTTCTTTTTGCAAGAACGTAATCACTACTTTGTGTATCTATGAGAAATACTATTTTTACCAAAAATAGAAACAAACTTTGGATGAAATTTAGTATTGGTACCATATTTACACCCCTTTGTCCATTTAGTTAAATTTGGCACCACCCCACATTTTGAAGCCCTTAAAATATGTACATTTTTCTCCTTGGGATGGGCATTGAATTTCATTTAAATCTACCTTTACATAAAAGGTGGAATTTATACCCACTGCGCCCAGTTGTTGTGTATAAAATATTGTAAACACAGATGGTCTTTCCCATTATTAACCGATCGACTAGACTATTTCGTCTAACTTAAGAATAAATTTATACGCAGAATTAATCACCGACAACCAATCAGCTAAATGATTACCACAAAATACTATAGAAATATAGAATTTTTGACTTTCACTTCGGTTGACAATTTTTATCCATTTCAGACTTATATAAGGCACGGATCGACGATTTCATTGTTAATAATTTTAAGAAATAATAATTTATAAATTTACATTGTGTAGTTTTTCAAGGCGTTTTGTTGGCGATTGGCTACATTTTACATTTTTCCCGAATATCTGTGAATACAATTCTCATGTGCATATCTTGGTCCAAAACAATAATCTGGGTATTCATGCGTATCATAATGAATAAAAAAATAAAAAAGACTTGCTTGCCATTAAACCTTTGAATTGTAATAACAATTTGTAAATTAAGCTTTACCAAGTATCTGTGATAAAACGTAAACGTAGTAAAGCAGTCTGTTTTGTTATTGAGTTAGTTATTAGATTGGACAGACGGAAGTTAGACAACTTGACGGATTGACAGATGAAGAGGAAACCTGAAATCCTCATCTGTTTCACCGTTAGAGGACTATAATAAATGAACAATTAAAACTAACATAGCATATAATTTATTGATTCGGTAAGTTTTTCGAAATTATATTTTGGTTTGTTAGTCTTAATTTCGACAACACTTATTACATGAAACATGTTTCATCTTTTTATAGTCTTATGCAATCAGTCTATAAAGCTTATTATAAAAAAGATGGAGGTCTTATTATTTGTAACGTTTGCTTCTGAGATTTACAAAAAAGGAATATATACTTAGTTTGTGTTTAAATTTTTCACATCCAATCTTTTTTATCCGGAATAAAAAAAAACAATCATGCAGTATTCAAAATCTATTCACACTCATGGTGGAAAAATCCTCTTTTAGCTCATTAATATTACTCTCTATTTTTTTTTCCACTTCCATTTTCTCAGGTAAGTTTATTGCAGCAGTATTCTCTGATTGTAAAATGTCCACAGCCTCTGATTTCAGAGCATCGTCAATTGTATCATCTATTAAATCAATGTAAGGAGAAACGTTAATGTAATCATTAGGTTCTTTTTCGCTATGCACTACATCTAAATATGTCCCGTCTTTGTTGTCAGGATCTATATATAGACCAGCTTCGACTGTTGGAGTTAAAGTGTTTTCTCTGGGTCCGGGCAAATGTTCGTACCCCTCATCTTGTTCCTCTATTATTTCATAGTCAGGATCGGAATACGGACTCTCTGGATTGGTAAATTTCATTTCGTATGGAGAGTCTTTTGATTTTGGAATACTTGGCAGGCGCATCAATTCTTTCCGTCTTTTTCTCAATGTTATTGCTCTATATGATTTTGAAATAAGAAATAGTCCAATGGTTTTGAAAAGATAGAATAATAAAAAAAATTTGCAACAACAACGACGAAGACAGATACCTGACAAAGTTTCTCGAATACGTGCAGCGTGCAGCACGGGATGAAATAAAAAGCTTTTAGTTTATAGTTAAATGTCCATGAAATTAAGAAAGAGAAAATGTTCAAAAGATATTTTACAAGATGCATATCTGAATTTGTATTTAATTTTTCTGAATTATATTATAATCCAATTTTGAACGGAACTTTAAGATCACAGACCTTATTTTGTATATGCCGATTGCAAAACTGATAGCAAATATCAGTGCAACTGCAAATCCAACCGCAACTACAACATACATGAATTGTAACAACATGATTACATATAATTAATATTATGTACATTAAATGCTTTACATTGCTCTGAGAAAAATACAAAATTATTTCCTTCATTTGTTCAAATCTCATACATTTTTATTTTGTAAAATAATATATTTCCAGAACAAAAAATTATACAAACGACAAATACATGTATTAATAAAATCTTTGACACAATTATTACAATTAGAAAATTTCAATGCGAGAAATTAAACTCAGAAAATATTTAAATAACTAAAAGAAAAATGCTTTTGTGTGATTTCAGTTGTTTAATTTGAAAGAAAATAATTCCCTTTTTAAAATCGTACCATCAAAGCTTTATGTTAAAAATACAATAGAGACTTATCAGTGTCTACTTACGAAAAATTGCTGTTTGGGAAAAGTTGGTGTTTGTTTCTTTACTTCCTGCAGACAATTTAGTATCTATATTAAAAAAAGGGTTTATAGAGAACACAGACTGTCGTCATATGTTGCTGTTGTTTTGTAAAATCACACTTTATAAATTTACATAGACTATTAATTTAAATATATGAAATTTTCAAATTGGAACTATAAGAAAGACAGGATTATACCATTATTTTCTCCTAAAATTTATATTATAAAAAATTTAATTTTGTGCAGTAAACAACTTTTTATTTGCATTATATTTTATTTGCTTTATAAGTGGAATATTGTTTTATTCATCTGTGGTCTAAATTCTGAGATGTCATGGCAACCACACTATATATATATATATATATATATATATATAGCACAAATTACAACAACTCTTAAACTAATATACCTGCCCTAAGGGAAGAAATATTAATATTGGAAGCACAGAGAAATTCACTTTTACAAGGATACTCACTTCCGCCCCAGCCCGGGGTTGAACTCTCGACCTACGGAATCTGTCTCCTAGCAGTACAGGACAGCGCGTTAGACCGCTCGGCTATCTAGGCAAGTTAAAAAACTTGCTTTCGATGCCGATGGAATTCTCACAACGCTGCCCTACGCTACACAGCGTTGTGAGAATTCCATCGGCATCGAAAGCAAGTTTTTTAACTTGCTTAGATAGCCGAGCGGTCTAACGCGCTGTCCTGTACTGCTAGCAGACAGATTCCGTAGGTCGAGAGTTCAACCCCGGGCTGGGGCGGAAGTGAGTATCCTTGTAAAAAAGTGAATTTCTCTGTGCTTCCTATATATATATATATATATATATATATATATATATATATATACTGTACATTGTATAAATGTAGGATATATCAATGTTTACCTGTTATATTTTCCAGTGGTGCAGGGAATTCAGAATAAAAATATTTGACACCTGGAAAAGTAAGAGAGATCCGTTTTGAATTTAAATATGAAGTAAACGATCGGAAAACGTAGATAAAAAGTCTACAGAAACAATAAACTGTTCGTGGAGCAAACATGGACGTCAAAGAACATGGTGTAGCAAACATCTCTGTCGACTAATTAATACTGTAGTTTGTTTTTATTACTGTAGTCAATTCAGTGTAAATATGGCCTAGGAAACTGTATGAAAAAAATAGGTCAATTTTTCTTCTTGAGCCAGATTGCAGTGATATGTATCAATCCTAGCCAAATCTAAATATGACTTTAAATGATATTGTAAATACCTTTATGCCATCAACCTGTTTATCAGAGTTCCATCTCATTTTAGAAAGATAATGTGACATCGAGTTGATCATGAATTTTAGTTCTTAGTTCTTCATCAATTATTCAAATATGAAGCAAATGTGCCAGATATCTCTTTGCTTTTCATTTCAAGTTAATGGGATGTTTTTGGGAAAATATCATTGTCCTGAAGAATACTTACAAACACTAGCATTTTCTTGTAGCTGTGCAGAGAAAAGAGGTATAAACCTGTTAGCCATACTTAATTTATCCTTAACGAGACAAGTTGAGTTCGTTTTGTCACTGTCTTGTGCCTTTGATATAATACAATGCCCAATCCGCTGGTAAATTCTAGATATAAATGAGATGAGAAGACGTTATTAAGTATTGCCATATTCTGGTATATTAATTTCACATTTTGGATAATTTTTATACTATTATTAAAACATTCAATATATATATATATATATATATATATATATATATATATATATATATATATATATATATATATATATATATATATATATATATATATATAAATTCTTACATAAATCGAAGCCGGAAAATAAAATAAAAAAAAAATACTATTTAAAAAGCAATTTAATTATTACAGAAATAAATTTAAATTTCTAATGTGTTGTCATTTAATATATTTCATTTATACTTAGATGGAACAACTTCAAATAAATAATAAAGTAAGACAATGAAACTTGTTTTGTTCATTTTGTCATATCAAGATACGTTGTGAATACATACCGGCATAATGTTGGTACATCTGTTGTAATTCCGATGAATTCTGCGAAACATTGTCTGGCAAAGTCAATCAACACAAAATCATTACCTTTCATACTAGGATCTCGACATGGTGAAGGAATGCCTGCAAAGCAGAAAATTTCAATTGTATTATTGAAAGAAAGTTTAATGATATTTAGGTTTTTTCAGCAAGATCCTGATTTTGTATGATGGAGTGTCCTTTTTATGAAGAAATTTAGATGAATTTATTTGTATCTAGTTACTGACTTATTTTTATTGTATCTTATACACAAAGTTAAAATTCAAATATGTAAAAATCTGTAAAATTGTTCAACTTTATTTGGTATTTAAATATTCCTCATTCTACTATCTTTCTTAAAACTCCATTTAATATGTTTTTTGCAATTGAAAGATCTTTGAAAAACTTTGAAAAAAAAATGATTAGAGATTTTCATTTCACTTATATGACATTGATTTCTTTTTTACTTGCTTTCGAAATCAAGTACTGTTTTATTTTTCTTTTAGAAATAGCCATTCCTTTTACATTGCTTTCAGAAGAAAAACTGAGTAAAGTTAAAACTTACATTGAGAGATTGATTTCCCTATTAAGTCTTCTAAAGTCCCCTTTATTTGCAGAGCAATAGATCGCCATGTAATCTGGGGACAATTGGAATCAGTGAGATTTTCAACATTCTTCTTCAAACATGAGACAAGGTTTAATATATAGCTAGAAAATATGCATATGACATCAATGAAATTTTACTAGATTAATTGTTCATGTATTAAATAGAAAATGAAGAAGCGGTTTATAAAAATGGATTAATATAAGCTTCATTCCTTATAATTCAATTTCAGTGTACACGATAATATTTTTTTTTTTCTCCGAAGATATCTTGAAATTGAACATATTTTAAAAAACGTCTAGCGGAGAAATACATTTTTGACGGAACTCATTGTGACGTAGGCAACTTATGTTATACAAAAAAAATAAATCTGTTATCCAATCAACTGAAGTGTTACAACTAAAATTAAATTATTTAGATATAAATCGCTGACCTACAATATTCACTATCACTTGGGATATCAGAAGCACACTGGCTCTTTATTTCTTTTGTATAAAAAGACTGATTGAGACACGGAGTTTCTGAAAAAAATATTTAAAAGATAAATATTCTTAGGTTATCAAACTCATGTAACATTAAAATAGTTGTTTTTTTCATTCTAAGAGAAATAAACTGACCACACACTTCCACGCCACAAAGTTCCCAGCGGACATCCGTGTAATTGGTAAAGCACCATGGCTCCTCTCTGTCGAAGTTACTACAGTAGTTCTCTTTTGCAAGGCTAAACGCATTATAACCGTGTTCGTGTGGGCTCTGTGCATCCCATCTTTGACACGATCTACCACTTTCTGTTACGTTTTTGGTTCCTTGGTATAAAACTCCTGGCAATCGACAGTCAGTTGAGATAGACCCTGCATTAATTATTTTTAAAAAGAATTTTAGGAAAAAAAACCCTTTTTGAATTGTACATCATTGTGTTGTTTTTTTTTTATTATCGATCCCTCATATTAAAAATTTTTTAGTATAGTATTTCAGAATAATACATTCATCTTCAATTTTTTCTCAAGCTTTATAACCTAAGAAGTACACTTTTTTGTATTTTTTTCTCATGCGGTTTTGGTTTGAATTGTCGCTTGTACATTTAGGAAATTGACACAGACCACAAACTTGCATGATTGATAAAGACTCCTGGCGGATATAATTGTATATTGTATACACCTATTTTGCAATGTACTGCCTGCTACGCGTTGTTTTTCAACCAAAATTTGCTCTAAATTTTAGCAGAGAGGTTATTATGACCAGATTGTATTCAAGCTAGTGATAAATATAGAATAATATTTTCAACAAAATTCAGGGGACTTCCCTTTGTTTTTGATTCATTACCAAACATAGTCATTTAACACTGGAGCTTAGGTTTAGCCCCCCCCCCCCCCCCGAACTTTCAGTAGTTACAGTTTGCAGTGTAAATCCCACCCCACAGCCACAAAAGCAAAAAGCAAAAAGCCCACCTCTTCAATTTTCTTTGGACGCCAAGGAATTATTACAGTTTAACAATCATTTTTGATGCTTTATTTAATTAAAAAAGAAACTACAACTATTTCAAGGAGACTATCAGATTTTTGTACTTCTTGTCTGTATTTAAGGCTCGTCATTTTTAAAAAAAAATATGTTTTAAACGAAGGAGACCATGGGTGATTATATTCAAAAGTAAAGCAGACAATTGCGTGTTGTTTTTTTTTCGTTTGTTTGTTTTTTTCCCAATTTAATGCGAATTAGTTTTATTCTTTTTCCTTTAACCTTCGAATTTAGAACCAAGAGAAATAAAAAAAAAATGACAAAAACGAACGACGAATAAGTGACTGTAATACATTTGATGGAAATACATGCAATAATAATAATTAAAATGTTTATCATCTACCTCATTTTTCATAATTTACTTTTAAATTTAACAAAAAAAAAAACATGACTTAAAATATACATGTAGTGATCAATACTTCGTCATCCGACTTTGTTGATTATTGTAAATCTAGGATTTCTATATCATATATAAGATATTAGTATTCATAAATATTTAAGTTATGCTTTTTTTTTTAAATAAGAGCAAAATATTTCACAATCAACAATATTATATAGTAATTGCCTCATACTGAGAAGCTAAATTACCTGTAACGGAATACAAAAAGTTTCCAATAAACAACCTTAAAGTTATAATTTCAGTTTTTTTCATTACAGTTACATGTTGGGTTTATCTCAGACAAGAAAAATATTGAAAAGCTGAAACAAGATGACGACGGGATATAACTTCCTTTCTTTGTATGCACTGTATATAATAATGAGAAAAGGGGATGTTGATGATCCGTTAGTATTTCCTATATGAAATATGTTTTCCTGTAAAACTGCATATTACTAGTATATTTTTGGGCATATTTTTAAAGCAATAGCAAATTCGTTATAATTTAAATGGGCTTTTTAAGGTTTCGTCAAAGGTCAACATGTCCAAAAAATTATTTTTACAATAACTCCAAAACTATATGAGGTATAAAGTTAAATCTTTTATATTGTATCAGTTTTTCATTGATTAACAGATAGAAAGTATCACTTGATAAAAAATACTTGGAAAAAATATTTAAATTGAGAAAAAATCTTTTTAAAAATGCATATTTTTTCAGAAAATGCACCTAATTAATTCCGTGCTTTTAGTGAAAACCATCACTGCAGAAACAAAATATGTTTATCAATGAAGGGCACGTTGGACTTGGATAGCCTCTGTAAAGTTGTTTTCTCTGTTAATTTTGTCCAAATGTTAAGACTTGAAAGTGAAAGTACAATGCAAATGGCGGATTCTTCAGGGGTCTTGTCTTTATGCATGTCATGCTTTCAATAACAGACTTTCAGAGACCAATCACGTCCAACTTGCCCTTCAATGATAAACATATATTATTTCTGCAGTGATGGTTTTCACAAAAAGGACAGAATTAAGCAGGTGCATTTCTCTTTAAATATGCACATTTTCTGATAAAATTTTTATCAAAAAATATATATTTTTAAAATATTTGTTATCAAGTGATACTTTCTACCCATTAATCAATGATATATTTATAAATTGTAAACATTTTGACTTTATACCACTCACAGTTTTGGAGCTATTGTAAAAATAATTTTTTAGACATGTTGACCTTTGACGAAACCTTAACTTCTGTTAAATCTCTGTAGGTATAACAAAAACTAAGCCTTTCTTAGGAAAATATCCAAAACTTTAAAAAGGGTTACCAAAAAAATTTGTACCCTTTTCATGTAAATTATATATTTAGGGCATTTGAAATAGACGGCGTACATATCATATATACACAGCAGATTGTGCCACGTACGTGTTACATATGGTTGCACATAACACATGTATCACGTATGTGAAATGTACGTATCACATACGTGTATTGCAAACATACGTTTCACGTATGTGGTACAACGTACGTATAACATATGTGTGACTACATACGTTTCACATAACGTACGTTAAACGAATGTTTGGAATACACGTATGTGTTACGTACGTGAAACGTACGTGTAACATATGTTATGTGCAACCATACGTTACACGTACGTTAATAAACGTACGGTTTACATGTATATTGTCAACCACATGTTACACGTACGTTAATTAACATATGGTTTACATGTGTATAGTCAACCACATGTTACACATACGTTAATGAACACATGGTTTACATGTGTATAGTCAACCACATGTTACACGTACGTTAATGAACTCATGGTTTACATGTGTTTTATAAAGCACAAATGTCATGTATATATATAGTTTATGTGCATTATAAACCACACATTAAATATACTAATGTACATAAATAAATTATGGTTAACTTGTATTCTAAAGCTCTCATTACATATGTTGATGAATATAGTATGTGTATTATCAGGCACATGTTACATAAACAATTAAAAAGGTGTTTTACATGTGTGTGAAAACCTATGTTTGAGAATGAGAAGGCTGTATATTTTGTAAATTCATATTATTACATACATGTATGATAAATGTAGGTTGACTATAAATCTAATCCTTTTTATTTTATTTCAAATTTAATTTATTAATCAAATTATCATTTAGTTTTTGCTATAAAGAGAAAAAAGAAAACAGTGCGTTAAACATTTATTGTTGCTAGGGACTACATAATTTCACTTAAAATACAGGAACTTTTTGTATAAAAGTATGGCTGACTTCCACAACTAACTATTTTTCCATAATAGTTTAAGTGATTTTGGAGAACTAATCAAGATATTATTTAACATAACAATCAATAGGCCTTTATGTTAAATAATATCAATAGGCACTTAGGGCTTAACCTGTTATTCAGGAAGAAGAGCAATCATAGTGATATGACCATCTATAAAATCCTTCTTATAACATGTATAACGGGTCCTTAGATCTTAAATTTATTGTTGCTAGGGACTACATAATTTCACTTAAAATACAGGAACTTTTTGTATAAAAGTATGGCTGACTTCCACAACTAACTATTTTTCCATAATAGTTTAAGTGATTTTGGAGAACTAATCAAGATATTATTTAACATAACAATCAATAGGCCTTTATGTTAAATAATTTCAATAGGCACTTAGGGCTTAACCTATTATTCAGGAAGAAGAGCAATCATAGTGATATGACCATCTATAAAATCCTTCTTATAACATGCATAACGGGTCCTTAGATCAGAAGTTGCATGTATTTTAATAATTATAATATTTTTTTGACATAAAATCTTTTTTTGACATAAACATTATTATGATATTTGGTTAAACCCAATCACAACTGAAGCTTACATGTGTGCGTTGTTGACTTGTCGTGTGCGTATTTAATGTTTCAATTTATTTCACATTGTTTACCTTACGTCCACTTTCATGTCTGGCATAATGTTATCAGTTCGCATTGGTTTAAACAGTTAACAAAGTTTACATAAAAAAATCTCCTATCTCGTCATGTGTATCGGATATCGGTAGAGGCACATAAAATTGAACTCGGTCATCGGTAGATATTGTAGTAAAATAAGGCATTTTACTATGCATAAATATCACCTACCTTACCATAAAAGGTGGCGACGAACACCCAGGTTTACATAGTAGGTAAACACAGGTACATTGTACATGCAACAATATAACACACAGGAAAACGTGGTGAAGGGTTTGACTGGTAATTCTCGACTGCGGTAGGAAACGTGCCGGCATGGGTGGATAGCTATGAGGTCAGGGTGAAAGGTCATAGTGGACTTGTTTACATATGCAATTTCACTACATTCCTCCCCGTTTTATTTAATAAAGCTAGGGGCAATTACTGTAATTTTATTAGAGGAATGTAAACAATAAAGATCTAATTATTATTTAATATGTCATGGAAAACGTATGAACTAAAACATGTATCCCCATGAACTTGGCCGGAATTACTTCTAGCGCCTTAGTTCCGCAGGATAGACATGTAAATATGTGGCAAGATTGAATATGGTTCAATGATTTGCGAATTAAATCCGCATGCATCTTCCACACTAGATCAAATGATCATATTAATTTAGCCATACATATTCCATGTTGTCTGTTATACATTCCTTATATTTTTACACTTAATTCATAGTCAAAAGGAATCTACCTATGACCTAACACTGACCTACTTCCATGAGAGTCCTGTAACTGAATGGTTTCATGACAAATGGTTTTAGTCGAGTGAAATTCAGTTGTACCAGTATAACTTAATCATGTATACAACTGATTTACATAATTATATTGTGCCGGAGTGCAGCCTATGTTAGATCTTTACAACAGATAAATTAACTAAACTGTTGTGATGTATTCTAATAATTAACTTAAATTATATTACGATAATCTTATTATGTATGTCGTCACCTTAAATATAACAATGCCTAATACTATATAACTTAAACTAACTTAAGCCTAACCTAAATTAAGAATATTTTCTTATCCTAAGAACTAAACTAACTGAAGAATATTTGCTGACTATTGATCGAAGAACCTATGAAATAATACTAATGAAAACATATTTACAAAACACATTCCGCATCAGTACCGTCACTGTCTAACATTAGTAAGCCAGGTATGATATGGAAAATGTATGACATATAACTATATACAAAGCAATCCAGCCCAATACCATCACTGAGAATGGTCAGCCGGGTATCTAACGGAACGCATAAGGTTATATACATAGAGCAATCCAGCCCAATACCGTCACTGAGAATGGTCAGCCGGGTATCTGACGGAAAGCAGTGCCTATATACATGAGGTGATCCGACATGATATACCGTCACTGATATCAGCCAGGTATATCCAACAGAATGCATAAGTTGCATGATCGCACCAGTCCTGTTCGAAGTATTTCTGAACAACCTTAGGAACTGGGTCAAGGGCATGCAATAGAATAGATCATTGCAGTATTTTGACTTTATATACTGCCTGAATATGTTTCACCCAGATTTGACCTGATTATACTAATTATAGCCTAAGTAGTACTAAATAAAGTTGTACTAATTTAATTAACATTTAATCTGCTTTGATTGAGCAATAAAGATACTATATTCACTATGCTCACTCAATATATAACAGTAACTTTCCAAAAAAGTAATGTCTATTGTTATAGTACTGCTTAATTCATCTAGCTTCTTACTAAAATCTCAAATGCTACAGATAAAATAAAGTATACTAAATGCTTACTAATATAAGTGAGCTTTAAGTACTATAATCATGATAGTTAATACTGCACATATATAAACTACACGTGCATTGAGCAATGCTATGTAGTTTACACTGATACAGATTAACAATGAATGGTTTCGACCAAAGTATATGGGTCTTTAGTTATAACTAATGATATATTTACTGTACTAACAATGATTTGTTAAACACTAAACACTTTGAGTTGCACTAGACATTATGTTCTTATAATGTAAGGGATGGTTGAGCAATGCTCAGATACTGCCTCAGGTGCAAATTAGTTACTTTAAATCTATTACTTAAATGTTATGCATTTAATACACGACTTTTAAGATTGTTGCAACTATTGATTATGTAAAACTTAACAACTATACTGCCATTTAGATCTACAAACTAAAATCTACACTATTTACATCTACAAACTACAATCTATACTATTTCCCCTCCCTTTTATTCTTAAATGAAGGAAGTAGTACTATTATAAGAAGCTGCTTCCAATTATAAATAGCAATATTAGAACTTATCTTACGTAGTTTGTGCAGTTATTTAATTTGATACTATTAAGTTCAACTACCAAAGTTATTTGCCAATTCTAAATTTAATGTTAGTTACTTAAATTATATATATGAGTTATATAAATCTGAATAAGGTCAGATTGCAGTAAAAACTAGTATTTGTAACACTACAGTCTACTGATCATTAAGTTCTAAATACTAACCAAAGTACTAGAATACTAAAAATGAGTATATTACTACACTACTTGAATAAAACCAACACTAGGTAATAAACCTAAGTCAAAGAACTCAGTAAGTATTAAAGCTGGGTAAAAGCATTTCAGGGAATTTATTTAGCAAATGATCTATGTTAATGTGATGGGCCATGGCACAACCCAACATTTATTTTCTAGTGGCAGCCCAGATGGGATGCCCAGCCCATGGTCTACAAAGTGGAGTACACAAACAAGGCACTCTCTGTATGTGGGAGGAAAGTCCTTGTCGGCAGCACTCCAAGTAAACCTGGTTGAGCCACCTGTGCTGTCACTTTCAGTGTTGTCTTGGTACACAGCTGTTACTGGTACAGACAGTGTGGGATAAGCATTCAGCGCTTCACTAATCTTCTCATTATGAATTGGCAGCTCAATCAGTGAAGAGGTTGCTGTTCCCTTTTCGTCTGTTACCAGCTCTTGGTAGGAGGACTCCTCTACATTGCTGGATGCCTGAGCATTTACACTGACTTGTTGCTATGCTCAGACGAAGGATCACTCCTAGACGGCTGTGTATTTGGTGTCAAGTCCAGTGGTTGTTGGCAGTTAGTGGTATATTCAGCATCTGAAGTTATTTGACAACCAGCAGTTGATTGCTTACTACTCGGTGGCCAAAACTCAGATGAACTGCCTTCAGAAACATCTTTGTCCTGTAAGTCTGTGTGAGAAATTACAGGAACTTGGAGACCATCCTGTGACACCATGGTGTTCCACTGTCTACCAGCAGGTGATATATCACCACTCGGTATTAGTGGAAACCCTGGTAGGCTCTTGCAGGTAACTGTGGATTTCTGCTGCTGCTGGTGCACTGCTGCAGTAAATGTTGGCTGCTGATGATGATACACTGCTGCAGCTGGCAGGACAGATTCACAGCTGCTGGTGTCTCCAGGTTTCAATGGTGAAGAACCATTTGATAATTCCTGGCCATGTCTGTGGGGAATTTCATTTGGGAACATAGCAGGACTTTGTACAGCTACCCCTTCCTGTGAGTGTGCCAACGGTGGTGGTGGCATTGGTGGTCCTCCATACATGCATTGCTGTGGGTATTGCTGTTGAGGTACCATGTATCCAGGTGGGAACATTCCAGGATATGGGCCATATGTACTGGGTATGCTGGAATAATCAATCCGAATTCAAGAGCAAAAATATATTTTAAAAAAAAAAGAAATTCACAATAATTTCACAACAAATCTCAAAAGGGAGTAAATGATTCATCTAGATAATTATCAAATATACAGTGGGTACCGTCCGTATAAAACTTATAAAATATACCTTCCGGCATGTACGTTACCAGTGACGTCACTGGAAAGAGAAGTCTGACGTCTGCAAGTTCTAGGGCCTAGCTAAAGGTGAGGAATGCATAAAATCAACAATTATTTAATTACTTTATGACTGTGTGTTGCATGTAAACTAAGGGGGGTGTTTTTTTTCAGTGTATTACATAATGGAGACGTGGGTTACCAAAAACTGAAAATATTGACCATGTTGAGCCAGTGAGCTGTCTTGGTCAGCACCCAGGTGTATCCATCAACACGGGCACGTTATATCAAAATGCAGGTGAAGTTTAAAAATACTGTTATAACAATTAAGTATTTATTTAAAATGTTTTTAACCTAACAAATAAGATGCAAAAAAAAGAAACAGCAACAATTTGATGTAAAGTTCCACTCACTGAATTATTTCTTTTTACAGTATTTAAAACATCACATTAGATGGTAAAGGAAATTATTATCTTTGAGTGCAATAATGGTGTAACAGTTTTGTTTTTACATATCTGCCCTTTTAATCCTTATGAATATAAATTGTGTTTGAGATTGAGAATTTTTATGTGATTTTAGATATGCATTCCAGGATGGTGACTGAAGCTCATCTTTGTAAACACCTATATAATGCCTAGAATGGACTCCAAAACAGATTCTTAAAGTTTAACCAGTATAATCTTGAATATGGTAATACTTTTAAAAAGGAATAAGATTTTCTTATCATATTGCTTTTAGACTTGCAAATACTACATGTAACTTGAAGCTTTTCATGTAAAATTTGAAATGCAATTGAGTTTGATGAATTTCACACTACTAAGAGTTATCTCCCTTGTCGGCATAACTCTCATTTTTCCCACTTTGTCCTTTGTAAGTTACCTGTTATTATTTTCAATCTTCAAACGTTATTGGACAATTTAGATCTATACCTGTATTGCCGAAGTTTGGGGCAACATGAAAATCTTAATGAACGATATTCAGTACAGATTTTATTTTTAAGAGACTGACCAATAAATTTGATAAGGTTAACAGAGGGAAAACAGGGCCTTACGCTGGATTGACCCTGCAAAGGGGAATAACTTTTGAAAAATTTAATGTGAAAGTCGTCTATTTTTTTTTCCATATGTTTTTTTTTTTAACCTCAAGGATAAAAAAGTATACACTTGGAACACACACAAAAACAGATGAGTCCATGCCAAGCTTAAGATTAATGCAGAAGGTAAGTTCAATTTTTCATTTCGTAACTCTTTTGGTTTTATCCAGATCGGACCTTACATATAATTAAGTCAGCTTCAGTATATAATAGAAGGATATGGAGATAACGAACAGTATTCAATCTCAAAGTTCATAAAACTATACAAAATAAGAGCAGAGCAAACACGGACCCCCGAAACATCAGAGGTGGGATCAGGTGCCATAATAAAACACCTATTTACTTACTATTCGGAAAATAGCTTGTTTATCATCACCCTAGACAACAAACTATTTCCCTCGGCTGCATCTTGGGGAATAGTTGTTGTCTTGGGGGATGATAAACTAGCTTTTGTCCTCATAGCCAGTATATAGGTGTACATGTATACTGTTTTTAGCTCTTCTGTGCCAAAGGCTCAAAGAGCTAATGCTACGGCCATTTGTGCGGTGTGCATAAACTTTTTATCTCACCTAAGCCAAAGGCTCAAGTGAGCTTTTCTGATCAAAATTTGTCCGTTGTTGTCGTTGGCGTCGTTGTTGTCGTTGGCGTTGTCGTTGTTGTAAACTTTTCACATTTTCATCTTCTTCTCAAGAACCACTGGGCCAATTTCAACCAAACTTGCTACAAAATATCCTTGGGTAAAGGGGATTCAAGTTTGTTCAAATGAAGGGCTGCGCCCTTTTCCAAGGGGAGATAATTATGAATTAGAAAAAAATTAATGGCATTTTTAGAAAATCTTCTTCTCAAGAACTACTAGGCCAGGAAAGATGAAACTCATGTGGAATCATCCTCAGGTAGTGTAGATTCAAGTTTGTTCAAATCATGACCCCCCAGGGGTAGGGTGGGGCCAAAATGGCCGATTAAAGTTTTACTTATGAATATACAGGAAAATTAAATCTTTAAATATTTTCTTCTCAAGAACCACTGGACCAGGAAAGATGAAACTTATGTGGAATCATCCTCAGGTACTATAGATTCAAGTTTGTTCAAATCATGACCCCCGGGGGTAGGGTGGGGCTAAAATGGCGGCCAATCAAAGTTTTACATAGGAATATATTGGAAAAATCTTCTTCTCAAGAACCATTGAGGCAGGAAAGATGAAACTTATGTGGAATCAATCTCAGATAGTGTAGATTCAAGCTTGTTCAAATCATGACCTCCGGGGGTAGGGTGGGACCAAAATGGCCAATAAAAGTTTTACATAGGAATATCTAGGGAAACCTTTTAAAATCTTGTTTTCAAGTACTTTAAAGCCATGCTTAGTGATATTTATAGGGAATCATCCTCAGGTAGTGTAGATTCAAGTTTGTTCAAATCATGACCCCCTGGGGGTGTTAAAATTTAAGCCCCCCCCCCCATCAAACTTTTAGTTCTGATCTGTCCATCGTCATACACTGTGCTCTGTCTGGTAAAATTTTAGCATTTATAAGAAATTGCAATTCAAACTATTTTGAATATTTTGCACTTTGCAGGATTGATGAAAAAATATCTATTAGGATTGAAGCTTTTTTTAACGTATGTTATACGATGTAACATAACAACGGTTTATAAGAAAAGCGTAAACTGGCCCAAGTTATGTTATATCGTATAGCATATCAAAAGGTTAAAATAAGCTTCATTCCTTATTTATTTTCAGTGTATATGATGAGAAAATTTTCCCTCTAAAAACGGTTTCAAATTGAGGGTATTTTAAACAGTAGCGTCAAGCGGATTAATACATTTTTGACGTAGCTCATTGTGACATAGGCAAAGTATGTTATATAATTTAATATAAATGAGACCTTTTGAATGAATTAAAAGGTGTATTACATTACATATCAATTGATTTTACCAGTATTTTTAAAGACATTAAGAAATCAGTCAGGCTTCTTTTGATACGGTATACTCGACATAAATTGATAATCAATGTTGTAATTAACAATTTTGAAATCAAAAACCTAACAAAACATTAAATCGAAACCTGTCTCCTCTACAAAGAAAGTTAGCAGGACTTAAATCTTATTTTTCTTTTTTTTTTCCTTTCATCAGAAGTACCAGAATTTTATATGATCAACAGTTGTCATGTACAAGAATTACAGAAACATGATTCAGTCAGTAAAATAATTCAATTTTTGCAAAAAGTCTTTCCTGAATGACAGACATAAGAAATACGTAAGCAGAATATTGAAACATAAATTAGCTCATAAACATTTAATTTCCAAATGTTTTTAAAATAGTTTTCATTAACATAAATGTTTCGTTTTCAAACAGTGGGGAAATGCTGGGAGCGCCATCCCTTTCACCACCAAGCAGGTAGAGATTCACTCGCATGTAACACCGGCATCCTCAAAATGATAACAATTATGGCTTCCTATCGGGGAATGTTCACACAACAGCAGATGAGATTCCGACCCCGAGCACTGTACACCGTCTAACCAGATAGGGCCCTCGCCTTCCCCAAAATAGGCAGCAGTTCTTGGAGTGGCAATACTGAAAGTAAATAAATGATCAGTTAAGCGCCAGTTGCAAGTAAGTTAAAGCTATACAGCATGAAACAAGTATTCCCTTTAACGGGTACGTAAAGTCACTTGAAACCCTCAAGTCATATTACATATAATTCATTGCAATTCTTGCAAAGTCAGGATTTCAAACATGACCACGTCATGATCTTTACATGTATTCTCTTGACCAAGTCAGGATAGATATTTTGGTCATATGAAGACTGATAACATGGGTCCCTGTGGCTTTCTATAAAATACTTACCCGGTATAACCCATCATTTGGCAAACAACCCGAGCTTCTGTTTCCGTCCAAGAATCATCACAAATGGTTCCCCATGTGTTGCTAATAGAAATTTCAACCCGGCCTTCGTTTGGCGAACTTCCGCTTTGTAATCGTATTGAACCTTTAAAACGATCGTCAAAACAAAATAATCTTATATACGATATGCATAAAAGAGAAGTTAAATTATAAATATATAAAGAATATTACGATTTCCAATTGTGGTGTTATATTTAAGGTTTGATCAACAAATTACAGCAAATGTATTAATAAGATCTGTAATACCCAGGAATTCGCAGAACAAAGAATGAGGTGACCATTTCCCTCCGGGTGTACAGTTTGTTGTGTTCCCTTGACCTACGGCAATGTAGTTCTGTTGACAGCCAAATGTTACAGAAGGAGGATAATAGTTCTGACGTAGAATAATTCCATTTTCCAGGAAAGGGACAGGTTCTGAACATTCTTTAAAGAAACATTTAGCTAACTTAAAACATATAACAGTGGATGATTCTAATATTTAAGAATCGTTACACAATTGAGAAGCTTGCAAAGCATATTCCATACGCATTTTAATTGTTATAGGATTTGAAAAAAAATGTTTTAGAAGAAATCTCGTATGCTGATAACGAACAGTGATTAAGCCCAAAAGTCCTGTGAAATGATATTAATTTTACAATGTAAGTTAAGGACAGAAATACAAACAAAATGTGGATGCCTGGAGTTGTATGTATGTTTTGGCATAATTTCAATGCAAATGATGCAAATAATAAATTTCTAGAAAATAAAAAAATTGTAAACCTTCTTTTATGTTCAAATATATGCCCTCCTGAATCCATCTTTAATAATCTATACAAATATTTTTCACTTCAAATTCCATTTTTGTGGAAATTTGAATTAAAAAAAATAAAAACTACGCGGTGAAAGTGATTTATTTTACAGATTTAAACATGACCCAACCTGTTATTTTTAAATTCTTTGACAAAATTTTGTTTGTATCATCTGTCCTTAAGTGTGCCTGCAATTCTAATCAATATATTTCCAAAAATAAGCAGAAAAATGACCTACCTGTAGCAATGCAGATTTTCTTGGATGATGACGTAGAAATACAGGTGGAATAATTGTTACATAATGAATGTCCACAAAGTGTTCTGTTGTCACCCTACAATTATAACATACATAATGAATCTCCACAAAGTGTTCTGTTGTCACCCTACAATTATAACATACATAATGAATCTCCACAAAGTGTTCTGTTGTCACCTACAGTTATAACATACATAATGAATCTCCACAAAGTGTTCTGTTGTCACCCTACAGTTATAACATACATAATGAATCTCCACAAAGTGTTCTGTTGTCATCCTACAATTATAACATACATAATGAATCTCCACAAAGTGTTCTGTTGTCACCCTACAGTTATAACATACATAATGAATCTCCACAAAGTGTTCTGTTGTCATCCTACAGTTATAACATACATAATGAATCTCCACAAAGTGTTCTGTTGTCACCCTACAGTTATAACATACATAATGAATCTCCACAAAGTGTTCTGTTGTCACCTTACAGTTATAACATACATAATGAATCTCCACAAAGTGTTCTGTTGTCACCCTACAATTATAACATACATAATGAATCTCCATAAAGTGTTCTGTTGTCACCTTACAGTTATAACATACATAATGAATCTCCACAAAGTGTTCTGTTGTCACCTTACAGTTATAACATACATAATGAATCTCCACAAAGTGTTCTGTTGTCATCCTACAGTTATAACATACATAATGAATCTCCACAAAGTGTTCTGTTGTCATCCTACAATTATAACATACATAATGAATCTCCACAAAGTGTTCTGTTGTCACCCTACAATTATAACATATATAATGAATCTCCACAAAGTGTTCTGTTGTCACCCTACAGTTATAACATACATAATGAATCTCCACAAAGTGTTCTGTTGTCATCCTACAGTTATAACATACATAATGAATCTCCACAAAGTGTTCTGTTGTCACCCTACAGTTATAACATATATAATGAATCTCCACAAAGTGTTCTGTTGTCATCCTACAATTATAACATACATAATGAATCTCCACAAAGTGTTCTGTTGTCACCCTACAATTATAACATATATAATGAATCTCCACAAAGTGTTCTGTTGTCACCCTACAGTTATAACATACATAATGAATCTCCACAAAGTGTTCTGTTGTCACCCTACAGTTACAACATACATAATGAATCTCCACAAAGTGTTCTGTTGTCACCCTACAATTATAACATACATAATGAATCTCCACAAAGTGTTCTGTTGTCACCCTACAATTATAACATACATAATGAATCTCCACAAAGTGTTCTGTTGTCATCCTACATTTATAACATACATAATGAATCTCCACAAAGTGTTCTGTTGTCACCCTACAGTTATAACATACATAATGAATCTCCACAAAGTGTTCTGTTGTCATCCTACAATTA